AAGCATTAACGTTTACTGCTGCTAGTAACAGGAAGTAGTAGCTCATGTGACCAATGTAGCAGTGGGGTGGCATCAGTATAAATGTGCAAAGAGTAAAAGCATAACTTTCAATTTAAACATCACAGACCTATCATTAGTGGCCCAAGTTAAATGAAGTAATATTACCTTACAAAGCGATCTCCACGAAAAAATAATTTCTGTTATTTTATTTACTAAAATATGAGAATTAAGTTTTACACCACCTGTTCCTACTAATTGTTCACTAGCTGTTAACATATTTTTTTATTTTTTATTTAGTTGAGATAAAAATAAAATCAGAGACATCTTTAATAATCCTAAGTAACACACAAGCAATGTCAGTGAACTTCAGAATACCACATATTTAAAGCTTATTGATTGCTATCGACCTAAAAGACGGCCTATTAGGCAAAAATAAAATAAAACACAAGATTCAGACTGCTCTAAATGCTTATATCTCTACATGTCCTTGTTTTTTTATGATGGCACTGAGAGCCAATATAAGTAATTTGGTCATAGCACCCTGCTCTTAAGAACAGCAGCCCCCATCCATGTAGTCTATATTTCAAATTTATTTGAGAGGGGCAGCCAATCAGGAGAAAGTCAGCTCAAAGGGAGAGCAGTTTCAGTTTTACAAATGCCAATTTAATGCTTAATAGTTTAATAGGAAAGGTTCCCATTAAATATATAAGTTGTTCATCACTGGACTTGCACAAGCCATGGTTTCAAGTTTAAACAAACTGTAGCTGTTGGTGTCCACACACTGAAGTAAAGGTGTGTAATTGTCACTGATAGTTTCTTCTGCAAGTGAACGTTTAAAAAAAATAGCACTGGGCTACATTAAAAAATGTTCCTTTATACATTCTTGTATTTTGCCATCAAGTGTTTTATAGATGCTTTTTGCTTATGTGGGCTTCACACGCTGCCGTGTAACAACCATATTCCATAAATACTTATAATCAGAGTTGACTGGTGGGCGATGATGGTTATCTTGGTTACGTGATAATAGTTTAATCTATTACTGATGCATGATGTGGTTTTAAAACGTTTTATGGTTGTGTCTGTGGGTTCCAGACAAACCTGAAACTTGAAGGTAGTATGAAACAGGTCTAACGGCAGTAAACATAGCAGAAAGGGTGGTATTATTAGCAGCTGTAATATTTGCTGTATCTTTAACCACGAGCGGGGCTGTTATATAACTCTATAAATAAACTGCTAACAAAAAAAAGGCTCTCCTGGGTTTCTGTAGCTCTGCAGCCCCTCTGATCCAACCTCATTTGTTATTTATGAAGCGTTTCTAGATTTCAGTATCTTTGTGTGTGTGTGTGTGTGTGTGTGGGAGGTGTTTACAGCACAGATTGCGCCCAATTTCAAAGTGTGATTCGGTCACTAAGAGGTTGTGAATTCTACAAACACACAAACGATATACACATATATACAAAAAACACAAATACCACACAAAGCAGGAATATTTGCATATGTATGCATGCTTTGTTTACACACGCACACACATACATATGCAGACAATGTAGCAGATATTACCTAACACAACTATAACTGTGACAGCACTAACATTAATGTTAGTGACTGATAAAACAATTAGCCTCTCAAATGATTAACCATTAACTTGTGGACATAAATTAACAACTAAAATCCTCAAAATCAATGAGAAATCAGGATAAGCTATTAGTATAATCAGTCTTATAAAATACATTATTGATTAGAAAGTGGTTAATAACTAAAATAATAATTACAATCAATGTTATATCTCAATAGTCACTGAGGTTGAAGGATTTGAGTGTTCTGCATAAGCAGAGGTTGGCAACATTCACTCCTATACAACACTGATTACGGCAGCATATGCATTAAAGACAGGTGATTTACTAAAGTAATTAGTACAAAGATCTCACTAAGGACTGAGACTAAAAGAAGAAGCATGTGTATGTGTGGCAGACAGAGAGAGAAGTGTGTGTCTTTCTTCTGCAACATGGCTGAACAAGTGACCAAAGAGAAGAACGAGCACGTGTGGCAGGATCCTTACATTTCCTCACCATGTGCAAAGGTGTGATTATGTGCAATAATGGTGTCAGCTCAATAATAAAAGTTGGTAGTTAGCATGCAAGACCTTGGTGTATGTAACAAATGCAGGAACAAAACCATTAAGAAGATCATCATAAAATAAATGAAAGCCCATACTCTTAACCATGTGTTATGAAAAACTATGATGTACCAGGGAGGTTCACTAGATCGTGGATCAGTCATTGATCAGAGTGATACTCCATGTGCTAGATCCGAGCAAGCAAGCGTTGTGCTCCACTTCAGCTGGCCCAGACACACAGCGAACTTCTCTTTGTTAGCTGCGTTAGCACTCTGAGCTAACATGCTCTGCTGTTGTTGCTCCTAGTGACTGCGATCAGAAGCTCTGGAGCTTGGAGAGGTCATAGGAGTGAAGAGCAGGCTTCCCACCACAGAGGTAGGAGTGAAACAGAGCCTGACAATAACTGGTAAATTCCTGAATTAGTCATAACTCGGGATGCTAGCAATACTTGAATAGCTCTATCTTGATAAGAACCAAAACAAATCCTGTTTTTCCTTGTTTTTCAGGAACGTGCTAACTCAGGAGTGACATCACTCCCAAATTCCAAGGTATTGGGAACACGGCAGTATGGCCGCCTGTGATTTTGTCTTGCAGGTAAAAGGTGTCCCATTACAGATCTAGGAGGTGGTCATTCACCTCCTTGGAGGATGATATTGAATCAATGGATCTACAGTCTTGCTTTGGATTGTACGACACCATTATTCACAAATAAATAAGCAAAGAATGTATCAGCAATTTATGTGAAATCTCAGAGAGCCGTGGTTGGTTTGTTTCTTCCAAAGTGAACCTGAGCGGCTTACCACAGCAGAGTGGTAATCCTCTCACAACTGAGTGACGATGATACCTCTGCCAAGCATGATGGGAACAGCAGGGCCGCGGTGAGCTCAATGACCCCGTTAAGTAATCCATGCACCACTTCATTTATTTATTTATTCATTTATTTACTTTTAACTTTCTGGTCATTGATGTGAATAAATCACTGCATTTGTTTCCCATTTTCCTAGACATGAGGTGTGGCTCAAGACTTTTGCACAGTACTGTATTGCAGTATTGATTGATTGAAAATTCTCTGATGCGTTTATCCAATAAATGCTTCTTTTCTCATTTAAATAGATGTAAGACAGAGTAAACTTAATGCTTGTCTCCAGTTTTACAAGGTCCAGTGTTATCAAACACACCAATGACTAGAAATGGTTAATGTCTGATTGTAGTACCTCTGGGGTCCAGGCGGAGGGGCTTTCTGTGACCTCATTCTTGTCATGATCCACTGCTTCCGTAGATTGCTGGTCCATACTCACGGTGGGACAGTCACTGGAGGCCAGTGGGTGGTCTCCTGCAGGTCTGTCCAAAGAGAGCATGGATGCCCTTTCTTTTGCTTCTACCACCGCAGAGAGCGGATCCTGGAAACCCTGTTGGCTTTGAGCTGCCGTTTCTGCAGGAACAAGAGCACTTGTTTTTAAACTGGTGGTGAAAGGATACTTTATATTTACACTGGAGATGGAACGTTTCATCGTCCTACTTTTATCTCACTCACTTTTAAAGTGCAAAATTCCTAATGGGACAAGTAACAAAAAAAAGTAACAAAAATGTTACAGTAGTTATTATTGTGCACTCACAGCACTGAAGATGTACAAGCAGTTACTAATAATTTTTAGATTATTTGAATGTGTAGAATGTATGTATGTCATGGTCATTTATGGCTTTTAATTATTTTGTTGAACTTTTCTTTTTCCAGGTTAAAATGATTGCACGACACATCTTTAATTATTTCAAAAAGCAAGAACTGCATGCACAAGTTAGTATTTATTTGGGATTTTCTCTAACCCACACATGGCCAAAATGACACGTACAGACTCAAATATATACATACATTCTCCTAAATCCTTTAGTGGTTTAGTAGTGCTGAAGGTTCTACGATGTCCTTTAAATGATTGACTACAACTGGTTTGACAGCATTCATTGTATGACCAATATTCAGAACAATGGGAAAGTCCCAGGAAGTCAGTGAAGATATGGTCTTTTACAGCCTATTTAAAACAACTGCCGATTCCAAGATCATCAACTATACATAAGTACAAGTTATTTAGATGTGTGACCACTTTGCCAGAGTCTAGAAGAAAATGCAAATTGGGACCCTCAGATGAGGCGAAACTACTTGTAAACTAGTAGCATCAATGTTCCCTTTGAAATAAGTTTTACATCATCATGGATCGAGAGAGCGCTGACCAAGAAGGACTGACTTTTCTCAAAAGAACCTTAAAACCCTGCTCAGAAATGTTACGGCAAAATGCAATGGAAATTTTTGCACATCAGGTGCAAATTACTGGAAAACTGTGAGTTGGTGCTTCAAATGTTTCAGCTTGATTAAGAAACTTATACTTGCATCATGAATGTAAAATGTATGTGTAACAGTATGTATCCTCACCTAACATATGTGCTCTCTGTGCAGTAATCCAGCACTGAAACTCTTCCTAACAGAACGAGGTGAACATGTAAACATAGCTGCCACCTACATCAACACAAATTACTGAAATTAGACCTAGGTGGATGTGAATATCTCCTCTAGTATACCATCTAATTTAGTCTTAAAGGTCTAAATGCAGTTTTCTAACCTTGTTTAGCACAGCAGTGTGTTAACAGGAGGGATATTGTGCAATTTGACAACCCTTGGCCTTTTCCTAACGCAGGAACACTCGGAGAACAAGCCGTACCTCGGACCAATCAATAGCAATTATCTCCAATTCTCTGTCATTAAGGTCGGCCTGACTGTTATATCAATGGCTGCATAGAGAGTTCACCATAGCAACAAGCTGAGGTAAGTCATCCTCTGTGTGTGTGTGTGTGTGTGTGTGTGTGTGTGT